TGAATTAAAACATACAGAATAAAAATTAGTCTTCAAAGAAGATTTAAACAAAGAAATAGAAAGGGAAGATCTAATGTGGAGGGGGAGGCTGTTCCAGAGCCTAGGAGCTGCCACAGCAAAGGCCCAGTCGCCTTTGGTTTTAAAATGTGAACGAGGGACTGAGAGGAGAAATTGACTAGACGACCAAAGAGATATAGAGGTATTATATGGGATGAGGAGATTACAAATATACTGGGGAGCACAACCATGTAAAGCTTTAAAAACAAAGTAAAATCTCAAAATCAATACGGAACTTGCTTATTGGTAGCCAGTGTAGAGAGGCGAGTATTGTTGTAATCGATCCAAAGATGATTTAGGCAAACCCAGATAGAGTGAGTTGCAGTAATCCAATCTTGAAGTTATAAACACATGAATTAGAGTTTGAAGATCCTTAATGGAAAGCATCTTCTTGATTCTAGCAATTGATCTTAATTGAAAGAAACTGCTTTTCACAACAGCACTGATCTGCTTAACAAAAGACAACGTGGGATCAAAAGCAACACCAAGTTTTCAAACACACTCACGTACATTTGATGAGAGGGGACCAAGCTGCTTAACAATGCCAGAAGACGCAACTGTTGGACCAAAAACCATTATTTCAGTTTTATCATTATTTAACTGTAAAAAATTCAAGTTCATCCAGCCTTTAATGTCCTGAAGACATGCAAACAGATTAGACATAGTCAATAGCACAGGTAAGCTGTTCTACCTGCGTGGCTTTTCAGTCTGACGCACCTCCATTAGGTCAGCTGCAGGGTCGTCAGCTGGTTGCCGCCGTTCACCGATGTTTCGCGCCTATACCAGTACATCTCCCGGCGGGGGGGCAGTGGCATATTAGGGACATCTCCCTGCCACCCCTGCAGCCGCCTTTATCGGGGTGTTAGCCCCCAGCCACTCTCCTTCCTCTGGATCCACAGCCAATAGCTGGCTTTCTCTGCCTCTTCCTCCAACTCCTTCATCGCCTTCCGCAGGTTTGCCCCCACCATGCCAGACTCACGGAGTATTTGCACCATTGCTCTACTGACGAAGCCCTGGCATCCGACCTCCACGGGGGTAAACCTTAGCGTTCCAGCCTGCCTCCTGGCACTCCGCTGCCAACTCGAAATATTTTAACTGTTTCCTTTCATGGGCTGCTGTGATGTTTTCTTCCGACAGGATAGTCAGCTCAATGATGAAGACTCTCTTATTCTCAGCTGACCATATGACAATGTCTGGCAAGAGGGTAGTTGTGGTTATTTCTCTTGGGAAGGCCAGCTGCTTCTTCAGGTTTCTTTTTGCCACTACACGGTGGATGTCGCCTGGTCTGACAAAAGAAGCCAGTGTTAACTTTGGAGTCTCGGGCATGTGGTTTGCTGCTACCCTACCCCTCTCCAGGACTTCAGCCAGCTTGGCCAGAACTTGGTCATGTCGCCACCTGAATCATCCCTGTGTCAATGCAACCTTGCATCCTGAGAGGATATGCTGCAGGCTTGCTCTGGTGTTACCACGTAGTGAGCTGCCAACCTCGTCCCCAAATCACCGGGTGAGGTTTAAGGGGCATGGGAGGGTGTCATTCCCTTATCTGAAAGCTGAGTCTGGCTTGTGGAGTTCTCCAGATGTCTACCCAGCTGATGCGCTTATTCACTGTAGCGTCCCACCGGGTCCAGGTGCCCTGCTGGCCCAGGGAGACTGCCTTAATGTGAAAGCGCTCCTGCTCAACCCTGGTGACTTTTTTTATTTAGAACAATTATTGTTTTAAACTGGAAAATAGAGCTGAGTGTCGTCGGCATAGAGATGATATGATAAATTATGTTTCTGAATAATATGACCAAGTGGAAGCATATATAAGGGAAAAAAAGAGGACCCAGAAAAGAGCCCTGCGGAACACCATAGGAGATTTGAGGCTGAGATGAGAAACAATTCTCCAAATTCACTAAAAAAGTTCTGTCCTTAAGGTAGGATACAAACCACTTCAGCACAGATCTCTGAAACCCAGCTACTTGATCAAGTCTTTGTAGACGGATGTCATGATCTATTGTATAAAATGCTGCACTTAAATCAAGCATGATTAAGATACAGCAATCTAGGTGCCCCCAGACCAAAAGCCCCCAAATATTTAGCCTGAAAATATTTAATTCTGTTTTGTTTTACATGAACGTCCTCTCTCTGTTTTAATATATTGATGAATTTATTAATGTAGATATATTAAGTAAACAAGTGCCATATTTCGGCATACATACACACACAAATCTCCAGTTATTTTTTCCAATTTTGCTCCACCAATAAAAAATAGTAACAACCGTTGTGCCTTTCCAACAATACACAAAATTATGTACTCCAGTTGCAATAAAAAAAAAATGTATAAAGAAAAATAAATATAAAAAATACATTTAAAAAACAAAGTTATTAAAAATTATCAAATATTTGATGACAGCTAAGTGACAATGTATGTATGTCATTTCATTAGATATGATATATCAAACCATGGCATCTGACAAAAGGTAAGAGCTTTTCTATGAACTAACTTTTGTTTTTACAATGAATTTTAATTAGCTGGACTCATGGTGTATAGTGATGTATTGTCTTCATTTTGAACAGTATATCCATTGTTTCCTTAAATGTGTGTGTGTGTGTGTGTGTGTGTGTGTGTGTGTGTGTGTGTGTGTTACTTGTATTTGTTT